TGAACCAAACCCCAAAGTTCCTCCACATCCTTCCATTAGGACACCTCCCTGTATGGGTGCTCGGTGGGGTAGGGCCCAGTGTACAGGTCTCAGGGACACCTAACCTAGAGCTTCAGCAACGTCCATGAGATGCTGGACTTGGTGACAATATCAGGAATGCTGCTTGGATCACAGCATCCCAGAATCAGAGATTGAAGGGATCCTTAGGCCTTCAGTGGCTGCCTGGGCCTGGAAGAAGCTTAGTCCAGAGCAGAGTTGGCCTCAACCTAAGAGGTGACTTCATGATCTACTTAACAAAATCAGCGTTGGTTGATTTCTTGAAGTCATCTCCCAGGCATTGACACAGCAAGCACCTTGAGGATGAAGCTGCGTGGTTGCTGGGGCCCTGGGGACGTGCCAAGGGAGAGGGAGTGCTGGGTGTCCACTGGGAACAGTATGATCAGCCTGCCCACTTCTGCTAACAACCCACTCTGCAGTAATCTAGACCTGAAACCTTGAGTGTCTGATGGGAAGCCCTACATTTACATACTGAAATTACAGGAATTTAGATAATTTTCATTTATAACTTTAATGGATTTTGTACTTCAGAGTAAAGCAGTTTAACAAATGTAGGAGAATATCTATACATAAATATCTGCTATAGACTAGCTGTTCAAATCTAAGCCATGTGTTACCTATTATTTATTTTTTGTACTGTATTTATTATAATGTTTTAATTTATCTTATTGTTTATTTTTTAATTTACTTTAGTTTTTATACTAGTGTATTTTTTTATAAAGAGGAAAGTAGGACACTGGATTATTTTATGAATGGATAATCTTTTCTAAGCATATTGCTTATACCTGGTATAGTTTCCTACTTAAGGTACCAGAGTAAGGCTTCCACTAAAGACATGTGCAGTGCCAGAAACTGTTAATCTAATTATCCTTTGCTTTCACATTCATCCTACAGTGAGATTTATGTAGCTTGATCCTCAGCCTTTCATTGACCTGAGTGCACAATAAGCTCTCAGAGGCTTCTCTAGGCCAAGAAGCTAATAACAAGCCACAGGGCCATTCACTTTGAGATCCTGGTCCAGAATGGCCTGGATTTTTGTTGGGACAGGCAGTTTGATGGGATTACATCTCTCCAAAGTGCCTTAGGCCAGATACCACAGACCACGAGTGTCCAGAATTAGTTTGGCAAATCAAAGTACCCATCCTCATCTGCTTGCCTGTGAATGCTCACCATATTCTGGGTATCACAGCAACACAAAGACTAAATAATACTGTGCTACCTACACCTGAACTGAGAAAGACAACAAGAGCAAGGACCTCCGGGGTGAGAACATCTCCAACCCTTCCTGCTTCCCAGGGGATCTGAAGTGCTTCCATTTGTTTACCCCACTGCACAGCAAGGCTTGTGATTTGTAAATCAAGAGGCAAACAAACCTTTTCAACAGTTCTAACACATCTGACACTACTATCTTCTGGACTTTAAAACACACCACAAAAAGGAAACTACTTTGTTCATGTTTCTCTCTCTCCACCAAACACACACTGTAGTGTTATTCCTCCTGCCCCGCTACCAGCAAGTGACCATGGACCTTCTGCAACTGATTTATAAATTGTTCATGACACTAACCACACAAATTCACACAGATGAAAAAAAAACAAACAATGCAGCAGCTTAAAATTAAACATCAAAAATAAAGACTGCCTGCCTTAATTAAAATACTTGGTTACTGGCTTAGGGAAGCAACCACTCTAACACCACAGGAAGAGAGGGAGTTGGGACCGACAGAACATGCAGGCTCCCTGCAAGGAGCAGCGAGCAAGTCCGAGGGAAGGGTAGTCCACTGAGCCAGAGCTTCACCTGATTTACACGGATTGTGGGATAAGCACTGGACCATACACAACATGCAGAAAACACACCACGTTATGCTGGAATGCTGCTGGTTCTGAACTGCCACGGAAGCGTCTTCAGAAAATGTCTAAACGCAGGGAGCACACACAACCTCCCAGAAGCAGCCAGGGGTACTTTACTTCACAACTTAGGCCACGAGCTCCTCAAGGAAAAGGCCAGAAAAAAAAACGAGTCCAAGTGGCAAAAGTGACCTAAAGATTTGCTTAAAATCTCAGCACACCGTTCATGCTGCCCTGATTCCTCTCCTGCTCTTGCACAGCACCAGAAACCTACACGCCCAGCGAGGCACCGCTCCCCTGAACAAACCAGCAGGGCCCGAGTGTGTCCACCAAAAATAAGGTTTTTTTAAAAAAAGCAGCAATACAGAGAAAATTGAGAGAGATCCAGCTCACCTTGAAGTCCATTTCCATTTGCACTGGTGCAAGATGGTGGAGGAGAGGCTTGGGGCCTGACAACAGGAGCAAAGGCGCTCTTTTGTTTCACTGCAGAGATGACATTGGCAGGTGAGAATGAGAAAATGCCGTGTGTACTGCTACAGTTTGAAGGGAGGGTGACGGAAGAGGCTGCCATGGTAGGGCTTGACGGCACTACTGCAATAAAGCAAAAATAATCAGGACTCAGATTGAGGTTTTCACGGCAAACACGGAAAAAGAGAGTGCTAGGGCCTTGCCTCTTAAGGTGTATATATATATATACATAATATATAAAAAAAAAAATATATAAAAAAAAAATGAAATGCCTTGGCTTGGCCACTCTCTGGATAACAGGCAAACTCTTTTGTGTTGGACTTTTGTTACGAATTGTGCAGTCCAATTTCTCTTTTTATTATTATTATTAATTTTTTCTATCTGAGATTGCATTATGGCACAAACAGATCAATTTATTATATTCATTTTTATGTCCAGCCTCCAGAGTCACCCCTCCTTTTATCCAGTAGCTCACAATATAGGAAATCAAAACAATGCAAGTATTGGATTTCGTAGTAAATATGAATCTATATGATGATGCGTTACCAAAAATAGACACTTACTGCCATAAGGAGAGTTAGCTGAGGAGCCATTAAGAAATCCAGGGGAACCTGGTACACCTAGATTGGGCATGCCGGCATTGCCATATCCATTCATGCTATTGCTGACTGTGTTGTAATTGGACTGCTGAGGAGTACTGCTGGGAACATATCCTCGCGGGGAAACACTGCTTGTGTTGCGACTGTAACCTACTGTGTTAGAAACCCCCCCACCCCAAAAAAATCATGTTATTTTATCATGTAGACTTAGGGCTGGGGGGTTTCCTCATGCAGCATATATTACACAGGTTGAATTGATTGCACAGCTTTGCTCTACGTTGTCTCTCGCTGCCCTATCAACTCTTGCAGTTGGAGATAACCTTATCACGCCAACCCTACTTAAATCATCTGCGAGCACTCTATGTTGTCTCTCCTCTTGGCACAGACAGCCAACAAAGCTCTCTTCGATCCAGCTGTGTCAGGTGCCTGCACATTTGTCTTTAGGAGCAATTATCAACAGGCTCGAGTCCCGCTTTGCACCAACACACTGAGTGAACTTTCAGCCTCTCCAGACCTTCAAAATGCCAAAGCTGACAAGAAAAAACTTTTTTGTTGCAGTGATTTACTTTTAAAAGGCTGTTTTGGGGTCTTCGTTTTATGATTGATATTTTTATATTATCAATAAGCTCGTAAGGAGTAGCCATCAGTGGAATTTGAGATCAAGTACAGAATTTTGTAAGGCATATTAGCTTGGAAATGCATTAAAAGACAATCTTTGTAGAAGAAGAAACACAGCAGAATCAGGATTTTAAATGATTTGTTCCTATCTGAGCAATCAATTTAATAATTATGTTGCAAGCAAAAAATATGGGTTTGAACATATCTAATAATCCTGTTTCCCTCCTTTCATTAGTATCAAAATTAATTTTAAATGCAATAGGCTACATGCATTTTCAATTACAACAGGTAAATTAAATCAAGTATTACTTTTATTAGTAACATATATGTCACACATGCCTATAAACAAAGTATTTTAAAATCACAGGCATCAAATTAGATTTATCTGTGTAAATATTCCAAAACCAGGCAGAGATACCTAGACATAATTATTTTATAATAAACATACACGTATATTTACTGTGAATACTAACGAGCTTTCTACACTTTGCCTGTATCTTTTTCCCCACTGCTTTGTCATAACAGCAAACGAAAAGAACAGGAAGAATTAAATATTATGAGAAAGTTAAAAGACAGCATTTCATTACAGGATCAGACAGGTGACCACGGGGAGGAAAAAAAAAAGAGGTAGAACACAGGTAACATCAGCTCCTATCAACAGGCCCTGGCCAAAAAGCAGTCAACACCATGAAGGATTAACTCTTGAAATCCCACCTACCTTGGTCGTTGGCTTGTGATGTTTCGGAGACATTGACGGCGAGCTGGCTGCTGAAGGAGTTCACCCCCATCATGCCAGTGTGAGCAGGAGTGTTGGCGAGGGTGGGGATCTGGTTGTGGTTGCGCGGCACGCTGTACAGCGCCTCCGCGATGTCGGCCGCTCGTTTCAGGATGATTTCCTAGGGAGGCAGAGAAATAAACACGCAGAACTGAGACACCGGTTCTGGAGGCAAACAGCCCGTGTTGGGGGTAACGTTAAAATTTACAGGAGGAATTGGTGTGGGATTGTAGGGGGGTGGGGAGTGTGCTGCTTGTTTCTGCTGAATTTTAATGTATTTAAAGCTTGTAGTAAGAACGTATGGCTCACTGATTTCTGTGATGGTGCTTCTACTGACGTTCTCTTGTGACAAGGTAAGCTTAATATGTGCTATGAAGGATATTGATAGGAAACTGGTATTGGTTACACATGATTAAAATGAACTGCTAGAAGAGGGAAGAAAAATAGGGAGAAAACAACCTTTGAAATTAGCTTATTTTTCTGATGTTATTGTGGGAATCGAGAATTCAGCATCCATTTAATGGTGGTAGAATGTCAATGATTAACTCTTGACTTGTTAGAAAGTTTGTTTCCTTGCAATCAGTTTGTAAAAAAACTTCAACCATTCTGTAAAGCAGTTCAGAATCTACTTTCAGTGTTCATGCTTTTCATCTGAACCGTCTGGTTCCCCTCCTGCATGTCGGAGCGCTGAGCAATTTCACATCAAGACAGTAAGAATAAAGAAATAAGAAACTGACACAAATATGCAGTTTAGTGCTGTAAGTCATGTGAAAACTTTACACACACACACACACACTTCATTTGTCCAGGGCAGGAGATGCATTTCCAGCAGTTTGAAAAATAGGGTCTGTTTTGTCCGCTCTGTTTAGCAGGTTTCTTCAGGACTTCCCATTAGTCACTGTATATTTTGGCCCGAGTTCAAGGTTATTCTCTTGCCTTAATGATTGCTTATGCTTTTGGCACCTTACACTTAATTGTCATTTCTGATAGGCAAACTAGGCATGAGAGGAGAATGGGAAGATGGAGCATTTCCCCTCCGAGCACTGCATCACATCAGACTGCCCTCAAGGTGGCTGGCAAAGCCCGGCTGTGTACAGAAGGGACGTGCTGCTCTGCCCGCTCCGCAAACAGCAGGTATTGATTTACACGTGTAGGCGTCTGCAGAGAGACCTGCGGCACTGACCTACCTGGTTGTTGTGGGGCATCCCATATAGGGCTTCCACAAGGTCTGCTGCTCTCTTAAGTAATACTTCCTAAAGAAAAAACAAACAAACAGTGTTAACATGTCACTAAATGCAGTGGAAGAAAAGAGAAGGGCGGCGACGCTGGCAGCTCAGGGTGGCATCTGTAGCCACGAGGAACCGATAAAGTGGGTAAAATATCTCGCACGCTATCCTGGTGCTCCAGCTCTATTTAGGGGATGCATTACAAAGATAGGAAGGCATTTTGTTTTGGAGGAAAACACTGCCTGTGGTTTGAAGTCAAAGTTAGATAGGAGCCTAAAAATAATATTGCATTTTACATCCAGCTGTTCAATTGTGATTGACTAGAAAAGGTGTTTGCTGCTGTAGCATGTAGCTCTAGTGCTGAATTAGTGAAATCAGTGCTTGAGGTTTAATGATGTAGTCTTATGGGTATTAAACAAACAAACACATGGTAGAGATATGAAAGGCACAGGCATCACATTTGGCTGTTAATTCCTAGCACTTTAGTGGTGAAGAACAATAAGTAATTTTCCATATCTTAATTAAACTGGCAGAGTCCTTAAAGACAACATCTCACCCCTAATTCATGCCCCAAATTTGCAAGTGAGTTCAATGCTTATTCCTCTTTATTTTGAACAATAAAGTGAATTAACTTGGGTTAATCTAGTTCTTTCATAATGACATTAAGAAATTTTTCAATTAACCTCTTTGACTGCATGTTGTAAAGGACTTCATAAATGACTTCACATTCAGAGAGTGTTGAGTACTTGTGCCTGGGGGCATGGATGCACTGAATTTTGTCTTATCCCTGTCTGCATGCCTACTTCCAGTTTTATGATTGCGAGGATTAATCCATAGTTTAGTTAATTTTAAATACAAATGAACTTAATTTTTTATTTTTTACCTTCGGCTGTAATAAAACGTAGCTGGAGGTTTTTAGGAAAAGATCTATCCAGCAAGACTTCCAGCTGTCTTAGGGAGGAACATGAGATTTCTTTGCAACTTATGTGACTCCTCTGAAAGCCCTCGTTTCTGTGAATGAACAGAAATCAAACCTGCAGACTGCAAAAAGATGAGCAATGCCCTGAGAGAGGCAGATTATTCTTCTCTTGATACGCTTGCGCGCAGCTCCAATTAATGGCTAATGGGAGCTGTGCCTGCACGCTGAGAGAACATTCCCTCGCTGGAAAGCTTCCT